CCGCTGCCCGGGATGCTGGCACCGCACCGCCGCCTTCTCAGCTGCTTAAGGCCATTGTGTCGATCACCTGCTCCAGCTTACTCCTCAGCCGCTGTCGCCGCGCCTGCTCGTCCTTCTCCAACGCGGCCAAAATCTGGGGGAGAGAGGGGAGAAGAGGGCGTGAGGAGATGTTCTCCTACCCAAAGCGGCTCCTCGGTGCCCACGTGGATGCGGTGGCTGATCGACAGCATCGGGGCCCCGGGATGTGGTCCCACGGGAAGCGGGGGGTGTTCCTTCGGGGCCAGGAAAGGTCCAACGGAGGTGCGAGGACCCTGCCCCAAGTGCTGCCACCTCCCAGGCAGAGCCCCCCGGGACCCCCGAGGGGCTGCGGGAACGCCAAGGACCTGCTGGATTCTAGCGAGAAGCCAACTTGGGGAAACGAAAGCGAATATCCATCATCACATGGAGGATGAACCCTAAAACCAAGATGACAACAGCTTCCTGCCACGTCTGTGACTCCAACGATGCTGCGATGTCCTCGGGAGGCAGGGGCTGCGTTTCGGAGACCACGATCAAGCCATGAACTGGCTCCACAAACACAGAAAGACCAAACCCACCAGGCTTCGGCTGCCACCTGGGGCAAGACCCCGCTCATCGCTCCCCAAGGTGGACCACCGAGGGACACTGGGGTGATGGAGGGGACACCAGCAAAGCCTGCCTTGCTGGGAGCCCTCAGCCCCGTGCAAGGGCTGCACCTGCAGACAGCTGAGGATGGCTTTCCTCCCTTGAAATCCTGTCTCTAAACAAGCTCCTGGCCGTGATGACAGATCGCGGGGTGGAGGGACAGTCCCCTGCCCTGGGCTGGACACAGCCATGCCCCCGGGGCTGGGGAAGGACTGGCGGCAGCGGGAGGGTGGAGGACAAGGCTCGGAGCGGGGAGGAGGGAGTAATGAAGCACAAAATGAAGGGGCAGTTGCCCTCCCAGCAGCCATGAGTCTCGTCTCACTAACATCATGCCAGCAGAGCAGAAAAGCTGATTTAAAAAAACCAAACCTGACAGAAATCTCATCTCCTCGGGTGAGCTAGTTGAGAGAGCAAATTTTTTGCAATTAAATATCAAGGCATCCGTCAAAGGGGACTTGATTAACCATTTCATTGGCCGCATAATTGGAAACAAACTGTTGTATAATTAATAGACTTACTAGGAGGCAGGCAAAGTCCATCAGGAGCCCTACAGGTAACTTCCTAATGGGGAATCAGCTCCCT